TGTTGTCTTGGATATTTGAGGACTGCCAAGGTATTGCAAGTGGAAAGGCTCTCCTCAGATGAACTGCAGTGATCCCTTCTACAGTCCTAACATAGACCAATGGTTTAAACCATGGGAAATAAATTAGAGAAATAAAGCTAATAAATTTTTATTAGTTGTAATAAAACTGCCAGTGCAGTTTAGGCAGAGTCTGGTCCCAGCAGCAGCACTTTTTTTAGCTGGGTTGCCAGACCCTGCCTTGACTGATCCTCCTGGCTGGGCTCTGAGTGCAGCTCAGAGCTCCTTCTAAAGTGTCACTGGTGCTGTCCCTGCACTGAAATCTGCCACCATTGCCAATCCACACCTCTCTGCATGGCACGGGCACGAAACACCTTCAGGAGGTTATTTCCAGTTCAATCTAAAAATTTATTTAGAGTTACATGAAGTGCAGTTGACTGGAAGCTTAACTAGTTAATTTATGGCTCCTACAGAGTTTTTTGTTCAACATGTTTGTAATTGTTAAGATCTAGTTTATCTTCAGCACTAACTGCAGTTTTTTAAAGAGTAAGAACAAACATGCTCTGAAGACAACTAAAAATCTTTGTCTTAAGATAAGCTTTTCGTGATTCATTTTTAATTGTTTGCCATTAAAAAAATTACTTGCTCAGAGATGTTTCTGACAAAGAGTGCATTTCGCTTTCTTTTTCCTATTTCTCAATCACTGCAGCTCAGTAGCTTCATCTCTGAGTCAAGTTGCCTCCTCAGCTGCATCCTTTAAAAAGTGCTAGATTCTTCCACTAGAAGAATAAGAAAAATGATCAATGAAATGATGTTGATGTGTTGTGGCAGCGTTTCTAAATTGATATCTTTTGGGGTTTTGGCTGTAATGTTTTGGCATACACACTTCTGTTGAAAATCTGGTGCCTGATTAAAAAAACAACAGCAGAAAACAGTGGAACTCAGGTTTTGAAACAACAAATGTTGTCATATCTTCACAGAAACAACTGGGAATATTTAAAACTCCATTTAATACATTTTAACTGAGCTATTTGAAAATATGCATGAATGTAACTGTGCCTGCTGTTTCCTGCATGCTTCTCTTCCAACTCTGGTTGAATGCTCTTTTTTTATTATTCCTAGTGGGAGAAAAAGGGTGCTGGAACCTGTGAAAATGTACAAAAGCTGCTCATTGAGAAAACAGACCTTTGGCTGCCCTTGGCAACAGCACGGGATTATGGATTAGGAATGGCAGGAACTGTCAGGTGTAAGATACATGTTGGTTTGGTGAGTACAGGTGCATACAAAATGGCCAAGAAATAGCTATACAGTGCTTAGATAGGGGCAGGAGTATACTGAATATTTCTTTCATACAAGAGGTAGAGCAATTGCTTCAGTTCTGAAAGCTACTCCATGAGAAATGTAAAGGCAAAAGCTTTAACAATTACTTCAAAGGGAGGATGCTTGAAATTATTGTGTTTTTTAAATTGCATTTTATTTAGTCAATGTCCTTCAGAATCTTTATCTATTTATGAAAAATTCAATATTTTTTAGTTCTTTTATACCAGTTTTATAGAGAGAAGATAACCATGAGCCCATTCTGTTCCAACCAAGTTGTATTTACAGGGGAGAAGTAGCAAGTGTCCCTGCTGGGCCATGATTTACAAGGTAAATAGCAAATGCCAAAGATTAAGTGGTGGTTTTCCCTTGTTTGGTGCTTAAGGGAAGAAATAGGGTTACTTCTGTGTTTAACTTGGGCTAAGTAATGCCACTCTCACAGTGTATCATTCTGTGCAAGTGCTTCAGTTCCTCAGGATGGGCATCTTGGGAACTGAGCATGTCAGGAATTAGTGGTTTAAGCATGATGCCCTTTCTAGTTGAGGGAAATAACGTTTTCCTGTCCTTTTCTTACTTCAGACTGCAGATTTTAAAATTCCTCAACAAACAAAAACAAGTTGAGAGGTGAGGGAATGTTCCTACTGAAAATCTTTCCAACCTGGATGTGATCAGCCTTGCTGACCATATAAAATATAACTTCATGTTACATGTTGTTTGCTGCAATATCTGAAGTGTATTTTAACATGAAGACAATGATACTGAATTTTATCTGTGAGTGAATTATGCAGACACCAAAAATAGCAGACTTTTTGAAGTAAAATTCCTTAAACACAGTGAATTGTCAAGTTTGCTCTGTAAAGAAACCTGCTGACATGGAACTCAAAAAACCAGAATAATTCTGGGCACATTCCATGTGCACATGGGCACAAAAACCCCAATATGCTGAGCCAGGCTGCATGTTTTTGTTGCTGTCCTTTGGATAACAGCAAGTACTGCTTCAAAGGCTTGGAGCAATATACCTAGAGGATTATTATTACTTGAGGAACACTTCACTTCCATGTGCTGAGGGAATAAGAATCTATTGTGAATTTTCAGCAGCAGCAAGAGACAGAATTGAGGACTGAGAGCTTTAAATTAGGGGGCTGGAGACCCAGATGAGAACAGGAAAGCAGACACAAGGCATGGTTAGGGCTATGGCATGGCTGGAATCACAAAACCAGGATAGATGAATTACACTGCTGGAATTACAAACCAAGTAACTGAGCCTTCTGTTGGACAACTTCAGGGCACTTAAGAAAGTTGGGATAGATGAGGAAGTGGGTTGTGCTGAAGGACATGGAGGGAGCAGCTGATAGTCTTGTTGAGAGCTTGTAGGAAGAGTTATGGAATGGTGTGGGCTGGAAGGGACCTTTAAGCCCCCATCATGGGCTGGGGTGCCACTCACCTAGATCAGTGTGCTCAGGGCACCATCCAGCCTGGCCCTCAACACTTCTGGGGCTGGGGCATCCATAGCTTCTCTGGGAAACCTGCTCTACCCCCTTTAAGTACTGGAACACTGCAGTGAGGTCTCCCTAGAGCCTTCCCCTCCCCAGGCTGAACCACCCCAGTTCTCCCAGCCTGTCTTTGCAGCTTCAGCTCTGTGATTGTCTTGGTGGCCTCCTTCAGACCCTCTCCTACAGGTCCAGGTCCTTCCTGTGCTGAGGACTCCAGCCCTGGACCAGCAGGGCTCCAGGTGGGCTCTCACTGGAGCAGAGCAGAGGGAGAATCCCATCCCTTGTCCTGCTGGTTGCTCCTGTTTGGATGCAGCCCAGGATGCACACACTGGCTTGGCTCATGTCCAGATCTTCATCCACAAGGGTGGCAATTGTAAAATATTCCTTCAAATTAAAGTCAGTTGGGCATTTTTCAGGCAATGGTGTCATACTGGGTTGCTTCTGAACAAAGTGGAGCATGTTGCCTTACTTTTTGAGACTTTTTGACTCTTGTGACTTGCATGTATTTGTTAACACCTAGCAGGAATTGAATCTCCAGGTGCTGTACCATCTATTTAGGAAGAAGTGTCCTGTGCCTGACTTTCAATTTTGTAAGTGAAAAGTAATATACATATTACATATTGCATATTACGTATTATATATTACATATTACATATTACATATTACATATTACATATTACATATTACATATTACATATTACATATTACATATTACATATTACATATATTATCTAGTATTTGGGGATTATTTAGAAAAGCAAACATGTTTGTACATACCGATGAATATCTCTCCTCTCTAGTAAGGATGCTTTTTTTGTTGGTTTGTTTTTTTTTTAATTGAAAATTACACTGGATGTCAAAGATTTTCAGTTCCCTTTCCTCACTGAAGAAAAAAGGAGCCTAAATTTTTTCCAGGAAACTATAATCGTGAGGGCTTTGGTAAAATTAGTTTAGACCTAACATTTCACAAATTATATTACTGTCTTGGTTAAAAAATACGATTTCTTGTTCAAACTCCATAATACAATCATTCATATATGCTAATTCCTAACTCTACATATTCTCTACTAGGGCTGGGCAGTGGAGTTGTTAAAAATGATAGTATTTTGTTTATGCAGGTTGGTTAGAAATTGCTGGTGTAAGTTTTTCTATTGTATCTTCTGTACTTCAGCATTTTTTCCCCTGAACCCCTTTAATTTTATATCTATTAAAAGAGTACATGCAGCCTCTCAACAAAAATTAGAATTTCTATTGTATTGAGTTCCTCTCATCCATACAGTAATAGAATTTCTTCTCTCATCTGGATGGACAAGACAGGCAAGTCTGGTATTTAGATAATGCTTTTATCACCACTTAAATTAGAGACAGAATTGTTCTTTTCTGTATTTTTTATCTATAGAAGTCTTTTATTGAGGCTCCGTAAATGTTACATAATTGGTGAGGAAACAGTTTAATGGGACAGTGCCAAAATTTAGACCTGAATCCATTGGTTTAGGATTACAGTGCAGAGTTGTGGACAAGCTCAGCTCTGAATCCTAACTGGCTCCATTTTTGGCCAGAAATTTAAATTCCTTTGCACTTGAGTCTGTGGTGCTGCTTTGTTCTGGAGGTGATCAGGTGTCAGCTTGCTCTGTCAGAGCAGCTCTCCCTGCCCCAGGCTGCTCCTCTCAGAGTACATTTGGTTCTACAGCTCTGAAAGTGGGGGACCACAGAGATTTAATGAATGAGTGGGTTTCTTTCTTCAGTCAATATTGTCTTCAGTCATTTCTGCAAGCAGCTGGAAAAGCTGAAATAGAATGTTTCCCTGCACATTTAATATATAAATATTGCATAAATATATGTAATATGTAACCTCTGGATGCAGTAGTTGTTCCCCATATAACATGGACTGAGCTATGTGATAAAGGGATGGATTATTGATGTTCATTTTGTGCTTTTCCATGGCAAAGCTCATGGAAGGATAAAGGCTTAAGGCAGCATTTTTGAGCTGTTGAGCTAATAATAGGCCTCAATGCCAGTTGAGTCACTTCTGATGGAACCAGTAACCAGTTTCAGAAATACTAATACCAATGAAAACCTTATTGTGATCACATTGCTATTCTCTACTCCCAGAATTTTAGAAATACTTGAAAGGCAGTATGGTACACTAGTGAAAAAAAAAAAATCATTTAAACCATGAATTTCTGTAGCATTTAGTCATTATTGCTATTTGTAAGGCTTAATCTCTCATGGATAAATATACTTTACTCAATGTTTTATTTCAATTACTTCTTTACACTCTGAGAGGGATCATATATTAGGCTAACCTGGAATTTTTTGACCATGTCTATTTTGCAAATGTTAATTAAAATTTAGTCCAAATTAAACCAGATAGAAAGTCTCAAGGTATATTTTATACATAAGAGATAAACCAAGAACCAGTCCACGTGAGGAACATATGTTTCACAATGTGTTTAGTGAAATGTGATTTTGGCCTTGGCCTCTTGGATTTATTTGCAAATTAAACTGTTTAGAACTCCAGAGGACCCAGAATACAGCTGGGCAAACAAGTTTGTTGTTTCTGACAATTTTTAAGTGATCTTTCTAATTGTGTCAACAGTCCAATGACAACTGCAGGTTATTAGTTGTACAAAATGTGTTCTGTTCCTACACTTGTTTTTATTCATTGCCACCAAGAACAGGGAAAGTTAATTTTCTTGTTATAAACATAATGTATGGGTCTTATTAAAGACAAATAAAAGCTAGTGTACACTGAACTTATAAATGCATTTTTACAAGACTGTTTAAGGTCCATCTAAATTTTAAAAACTGATGAGTAGAATGAAGCAATGTCTCAATGTGAACACCTAAATGTTTTCTTTCTGAAAGTGTAGCCTTTATTTCTAATTTGCTAGATTTATACTACACAAGAGCACTGGAACTGTTAAAGCCAGACGTGATTGGTTTCCAGCATTTTCCACCTAGAAGTATGATGGCATGTTTTATTTTCTTTAATTATGGCACAATTATTTCCTACTCACACTCTTTGTATTATAAAGCTGCTTTGCCTTTTCTTTACTAGTCTGTCTGTTGTCTCCCAAAGTGAGCTTTCCAAAGTCTGAAACACCTGGAATTTATCCACACTATTATTTTTGCAAATCTGCAAAGTGAAATATGGCATGGCAATACCATTAGCAATACAGACATTTAGCTAAACACTTTTAACCAATACAAGCTTATGATAAAGTGTCAGGTGCTCTGCTTCATTAAATAACACAAATTGAACAGATCCATTCAGGAAGCCATTAACAGCATTATGCAGACATATCTTTAGACACTGCAGCTGTGCTTCATCAAAATGTGCCTACCATCTTCTTCCTCTTGCTGTTTGAATCCCCTCACTGAACTCATGGAATATCATTGTGGTGATTCCATAAACTTTCAAACCTGAAACTAGCCAAGAGGTTTTATTCTAGA